GGTACCAACATTGGAATCAATTATATTGGTAGCACTTTTTACTATTCCCATGGTTAAAGAAACAAATAATTAATAAAAATTACAATGATGATTGTCATAGCGTTTTTAAAACGAAATACAATGATGATGATATTAATAATAATAATATAAATGCATCTACATTCTGTAGCATTTAACTACGGTTAAATATCCTCCCTGAACGAGATCAAACATATGACTAATAAATGTACACTTTATCTTAGATGGTATGAAAGAAAAGACAGAAAATAAACGAGCTAAAAAAATCACTACAGTCGGATGAATAAAAGGATGTGAAATTACCGAAAACATAAATAGATTGCATAGTAATCCACACAAGTAAATCACAAAAATCTTATCAATACAAAGCACATCAGCATGCAGAAATCAGAAATAGATGTCATATTCTATCCTTTAAATTGAATGCGACTAATAAATTTATCCTATGTTAGCACAACAAATGAATGATAGTTCTTCAGAACCCATATACACTAACACAACAACCAATGAATGACGAAGCAGTGCTGGTAATAAGCATGTGTTTGACCCAGTGTTGGATAATATCAACACAACTTTAATAATCTCATCAGTTTGGAAGTCCATGATTGCACAAGGTTAAGATACATCTTCACATCTACCATTGCTCGAAATTTGCCAACTGAGCAGGTTATATATATTCTTCTGTGAGGAATCGGAACAGATTATTGACAGGGATCAAACTCCATCACAACCTATTTGTTTCCCTAATTTGACACCCATTCATATCTGGGAATGTTTGAACTTGAAAAGCTTATTTCTGGTTACCGTTACAGCAGGTAGCGACCTTCCAAAACTAGAATAAATAAGCCTTAGATGGGTCTCCAAATTAGAGGAGGTGTTCAAAGGAGGCGAGGCAAATGAAGAGAAAGTGATACTCCTTCCTCAATTATGGCTACTTATGTTCATGAAACATCTGGCGTTTTTGAGAAGTTGCATGAAATACACGACATCTTTGGGAAGTCGCACGAAAGACACAATGTCTTCCTGTATTAGCTCTTGTATTTGTCTTTGTCTTTCCCAAACTCCATTCAGAAGACGTCGAGTCTTTTATGTGTCTTTAGAAAGTAGCCAAATATTTCATGTGTATTTTGTTCTACACTATAAAAATCATTCTATTTAAAACTAATACCATCATAGAATAAATATTGCCATCTTTCAAGACTAATATAAAACTTTCAGATTTACACACCCAAATAAAAAATAAATTTAAAACTAATTTTCAACCATTTGATCCGAGATTAACATACTCACAAAATATATATGCTTCAAAACAATGACAAAATCCTCTTACTAAAATATCAATATGAAATTTCAATTATCAAATATATCAAATGGTTGAAAAGTATCAGATTACAACTAAGAAGACACAAAATTATTCTATGAATACCCCTTTTTAAACCAACTCTGAACATTTGTATGCCACATTATTAATGACCTAAAAGAGTGATCGAAATCAAAGATTATCAATCTTAATTTCAAATCTTACGAAAATATCGAAAAATAATTTTATCTAAAAAATCATTTTCATTTCTTCAAATCATAATAATATAAGTTAATCTATTTTTTAAAACCTCTTTTCCTCATTAAAAACTTACTGAAAATGGTTTAAAATCAACTAAACTTTGTTGAAGAATTCAGAACTCACTATTAAATCTTTTTTTTTTTGTAACAACTCATTATTAAATCTTAAATTTATTGAAAATCTTAAGTTGAAATATAGAAATATTGATTTAAAGTGTAGAAATAAGATTTAACCTTAAGAAGGAAAGTAGAATAAAAAATAAAATAAAATAAAATAACAAGGAATTAAGTTTTAAAAATCAGAATTGAGAGAACTTCTTCAAAAACATGAATTTGGAAGGTTGAGAATAGTGTTGAAGATGATAGAAATTAAAAACAAAAGATTATATTTGTAATTATTTTATGATGTCTTAGTACTTTTGGTAGAAGAAAGTCAGCTCGAAATCAACGATGATGCTTTAATTGGGGTTATTTGGATAATGATAATGGAAATTCATATTTGTAATTATATTTGTTTGAATAATAATTTTGTAAATGATATTATATTTTCGATAATATTTAAATTTTAAATCACAAATAAAAATAAATATTTTTATATCTATCAATATTTATTTTAAAAAGGAAGATTTCGATGATACATTGCAACAAAATCCAATAATTAATGCATATAATATTTATTTCTATAAATATTATAAGATTTAAGAGTGTTGAGTTTGACGTTTTAAGACCACTATACCGAGTTTTTGAACTTTATTAAAAAATATTTATTAAAAAATATAACTGAGTTTGATATGTAGGAGTAATTTAATGTAGATACATAATTTGATTTGTGGTTAGATATCATTTTTTTAATAATAAGTTTTTATTTGATATTTGTGTTTCATATTAAAATTAATTATATTATATTGTTTAAGTGATGTTAGTTATATTTAATCACACAAATTAATCTATTTAAAAAATGAAGAGTAGAACAACATAACCAACAACCATAGCGCAAAAATAATAGAACCAAAGCATTCCTTTATGGATTAATATTAATGCTAAATATAGAGAAACAAGGATTTCCAGCAAAGTTGAAGAGGTTATTTTTTAAGAAAAACTATTTCAGATATCACTAAATTTTGTTTGTTAACTTATTTATATCATTGAATTTTTAATTTTTTCAATTATAGTGTTGAATTTTAGTTTTACATTCAATTACATCACTTATATGTTAAGTCGCTAACGAGATAATTACATGGTTAACGATTGATGATGTGGTATGCCACATCAAAACAACGTCGTTTTGGTGTGGCTCTTCTGATGCCTAAAACGGAGTCATTTTAGACAATGAACTTTACTGGTGTATCAATTTTGCCACTTAACTCCCAAACATTTTACTTTTTTGGTATTTCACTTTTTGGCTATCATCGGCCACCAATCATCTCTCGTCACCGATTGTCTTTCGCGACAAAATCAATATAAAAATATTTGTATTTCACTCCTCATTATTCTGATATGATTAGTTTTTCACGAAACTCACTCAAAATCGACAAATGAAACAAAAAAATCTATAATTTTTTAATTGTTTTGAGAATTTTTTAGATTAATGAGATTTAGTGTGTTTGTTCGAAAATCTGAATAGCGAAAAATATTATTTCGAGAAGACGAATAACATATCTCAAAACTAGCCTCTTCAAACGGACATTGAAAGAGATCAAAGTACTAATACATCAAACTTTTAAATGGATCCTATGAGAAGATAGAAGAGTGGAATACAAACGTTTTGATACCGATCTTGTCATGAAATATGACTGACAACGGGTGGTGCTTGGCTGTCGACGGGGGCCAGAAAGTTCAGTGCTAAAAAAGAAAATTGTTTAAAAGTTTAGTGGTAAAATTGATACACCCCTAAAGTTCAATGTCAAAAACGACATTGTTTTAGGCATCAAAACAACCACGCCTAAATAATGTCGTTTTGGTGTGGTAGACCACGTCAGCAACCGTTAGCCATGTGACCGTTTGATCGTCTCGTTACTGACTTAACGGCGAAGTGGTATAATTGAATGTAAAACTAAAGTTCAGTGGTATAATCGATATAATTGAAAGTTTAGTGATATAAACGAGTCATTGGGAAAAAGTTAAGTGATATATGAAATAGTTTTCCCTATGTTATATTAGGCTCCAAGAAATACATTGCAGTGAGGGACCATTTACAGATGGGCAAAGTCCCAAAATTTTGGTGGAATCTTAATCCTGTACTGTGTAACTTTTTGTATTCAGCTCATTGCCGTTTTATGGTTCCTGCTGCAGATGTACTCAACTTAGCCCCATTTGGTCTATATATCTTCTATAACATCTTTGATTGAACAAGTTCATCAGTTTTTAAGTAGCTTCAACAACCTGGTTTCAATGCTAATATAAGCTCCAAGACATGGTTCATATATAACCCCATTGTTTGATATTAAAGCATGTAAGCAGCACGAACTAAGCGACCTCATTCTTTAAGGGATTGTTATTATCCCTAGAGGTCCCGGGTTCAAGCATGACATCTTTAGGGTCGTTTGAGCGTTAATTGTTAAATGGTTTAGAGTCTTTTAAACAGATACTACATTGTAATCACTCCAGACTAGTAAAAAAATATGTAAGAAGCTGAAGTTATTCTGTTCCTATAAGACTATGAAAAGTCTGCTAATTCTGGCAAATTGAGATGTCTGCAATGGTGATTGTTTGATTATTCCTCATCCAAAGTTTGACTGATGCAAACTGAGCTAGAAAATGGTAAAGTTTTTAACTGCAGGATCTTTGGATTCAACCTAAGTCAACTGCAAACCATGGCATCTAAGGCTATCACTCTATTTTATCTCTACTGTTCTCTGAAAATTACTTCTCCATGCATGGATTAAGACTTTTCCCAAAATTAGCTGATCCAGAGTTTAGGGTTTAGGTTCTAGTAACTGAGGTTGTTTCGTGTTTTATATGAACTAACCATGTTCGACACATTTCAGGATACGAGTATCTATACTTGTGTTGGATACATACTAATATTCGAGTCCGAGAAATATAGGCCTAATTGAGGAGAAAAAACACAAATCTGAATTAAAACAAACTAGACTTGCTTCTTAAATGAAACACACGTAAAGAGTAGCAAACAAAACAAACATTGGAATCAAATAGTTCAGTAATTACAATAAAACATATTTGATGTCCCAGGAAAAAATAAACCATAGTTGAGCTCCAAGAGCTCAATCAAATATAAATTAAAGCTACAAACAATCAACATACTGCAGATGCAATAACCTGAAAAATCCACCTAGATTTCTTCTTCCCCAAGGTACAAGCCAACAATCCCAATTGGCCAAAATCTTCCCAAATCACTGTCAACAATCAACATGCAAGTGCAACATGAAGTAAAAGTTGGAACGGAAATGAGAAAGTAGTAGAAGTAAAACCTCTTTTTAAACCAAATTGATCGATTGATGGAGAGAATCAGAGGACAGCTTGTTGGCAATGCCGTCGTGCTTCTCTTCTTGGCCCTGAATTCGGGATGGAATGTGAAAACCAGAGAATACACCAGATGTGGTGAATCCAATAGTTGATGAAACAGCTTGATGATGAATGTTTTGTGGGATTTGGTGATGATAATTCTGGTGGTCATCAATTGGTTGGTCTATCCAAGCACGAACCCAGGGCGTGTTACTGGACTGAAGGGGTCCCCTCTGAGAAAAACACTGGTTGGTTTGGCCATAAGCCGGTGGCACTAGCTGTTGTGATGGAGTGCCAAAGAGAAATCCACCGTCGTTGCAACCGCCACTGTCGGCGGCAAACAATCTGTGAAACCTCCCGATCTCCGCCGGTTGCTGGTGGTGGTGCTCCCATCCAACATTTAACCCATCGAAACCTGCTAATGCGGTGGTTCCAGAGAATAAAACAGCTTCACTGTTGTGTCCCGGAGCTGTAGCAGCTTGGTGTTCACGGTGGTGATGCAAAAGAATCGGCTCCGGAAATGCCTGAAGAGATAGCCGTAGATCTTGACAATGACTGATAGTGATAGTATCGGCAATCTCATCAGAAACGAATGAAACCGGAAGAAAACCGGAATTATTGTTATCCAAGTCATCTCCAATCTCTCGTTGCTCGAGACTTTGAACTTGGTTTTCGATGTGAAAATCACCGGCTGCTGCTGTTGCTGCGTTTGGATCTTCTTGCTTGTTGGGTTTCTTCGTTGAAACCAAAGGGTTCCATGGAGGAAGCTCGGCGAGCTCGTCAATGGCGGATTTGGCTTTTTTAATAAGCCAATCTACAGCTTTGCTGGGACGGTCGTATCCAAGGCGGTCTTGGACGTCGTAAAATTGGATGGCGGTGTGAGCCGAGAGACGTACACGTCGGTCTCGAGGACCTTTGGCTGTGCAAACCTTACTGTGACGATCTTTCCTGCCGGTTGATCGAACAATGTGACCTCCTTCAACCTCCACGATCTCTCCTCCAACTTGCTTTATCCTTAACCTTGACGATGTTGCAGCTTGGGGGTGATTTTCTCCCATTCTTCTTGCATGTTCGATTGATTTCGATGGTGATAACGACGACTCCTCGGAGGATCCCAGCTCAGATCCCTAAGGGGGTGTTTGGTTCAAGGAATGTGGGATTCCCATAGGATGGGAATTCCACATTCCCATGTTTGGTTGACCGGGAATCTCATTCTCGGTAATGTTTTATTACCAATAGTAGATTTTTTGGGATATATTACCGGGAATGTCATTACCTCCCTTCCCTTAGGTATTGTAACATTACCGGCGTTTTGGACTAAAATGCCCTTAAATTTTTATTTTTTTTCAAAAATATCCTTCTTCTGTCATTGAATAATAAAAATTCTACGAATGTTAAATTACAAATTTATCCTTAAATTATTTTAGATTTACAAAAAAAGTCTATAATTAAAATTTTTATATGAAGTTTAGGGGTTAAATTGTTTTTACCCTTTCATTAAACATTTTTTATATTTTTAATTTTGTAAAAAAATTATATAAATATTATGAATTTAATTTTTTAAAGAAAATATATAAATATTTTACAATTTGTAATATTATACAAATATATAATAAGGACAATTTGGTCAAATATACATTCCAATAATCTTTTATTCCTTTGACCAAACACGGTAATCTTACATTCCTGCTAAACCAACCAAACACAAAATACAACATTCCCAGTAATCATATTCCCTGGTAATCTTTTATTCCCACTGGTAATCTTACATTCCGTGAACCAAACGCACCCTAAGTTCTTGTTGCAGATTTTAATCAAAAGTTACAGCACTTATTCCCTGTCCAACCCATCTCTTTCGATCATCATTCTTCTCTCTATGTAAACTCAGATTTTACTAATAGAACCTCTCCTTTGTACTATTTTATTCAGTAACCAAATTATGAGAATGGGTTTTTTTTTTTCTTTAACATCCAACAATGACCGGATGCAAAATTCTGCTTAACAAGAATTTTATCGGGAAAAAACCAGAGAGAAAGAAAGAGAGGGAAAGTTGATGTTAGAACAGTATAGGGTGTCTTAGATATAGCTTTGTATAGGGGAAAGTGACGCCAGACAGAATAGTGATTATCTTGTAGGCTAGCTCCGACAGACGATTCACAAGAGAAAATTCGCCCAAAAACCAGAGAAAAAAAAAGTCTTTAGGATTTAATAAAATATTATAAAATCAATAACCATCCAAAAAGCAGTCCACAAGCCGGACTGTTATAGCAAAAAAATCGTCTTTATTCGAATTTTGCCAAAAATAGCAAAATCTCGAAAATCACTCTAAATTGAAATTCGAAATAAAATAAGCAATCTCCCAAAAATCCGGCCTAAATCGGATTTAAATTGACTTCCTAATTAACAATCGAAATATTACCATAAATAGTAAAAAATAACTAAATCTAGTGATTCGGAGGGGAAAACGACAGAATTTGAGGTTTAAAAAAAAGGCCACATGGAGCTTAGCTCATGTGGAGAGCGTGCGCGTCGAAAAGAGCTTTCCGGATTGGGGTCTTATGCGCGATTCTGACACCTGTAGCCAAAGTTATGGCCAAAAGACTGAAACATACTCAAAACGACCCCAATGAGGAACATGTCACAATCAATTCCCGCCTTTGCGCTGATCTGCCAACTCATGGTATCTCAGTGCCATCAACGTGCAATCTGACAGCTCAGCATCATCTGTCTCGGATCCCCCTGCATCAGTCACCCCGGGTTGGAAAGAACTCGTCCTCGAGTTCAGAGTAGTGTCATCAGGATCCACAAAACAATGACTCAGGTGCTTCACATTAAAGACATCAGAAGTCTTCAAGTGACTGGGAAGTCGCAACCTGTAAGCATTATCATTGATCTTCTGCACGACCTCACAAGGTCCAATCTTCCGATCCTTAAGCTTATTATACTCACCAACAGGAAAACGATCACGAGTTAATACAGCCCAAACAAAATCACCAACATCAAAAAGTACCTGACGACGATGATTGTCGACCCGAGTCTTGTACTTGGTATTGCTCTCATGAATGGTCTGTTACACCTGCTCATGGATACCCTGAAGATACTTTGCCATCTCATCTGCTTTAGGACTGAAACGTCCTATACGTGGAATAGGGGCTAAGTCCAACACCCCGGATGGGTTCTGACCATAGACAATCTCAAATGGGCTTAAACCTGTGGTTCTGTTTTTTGATCTGTTGTAGGCAAATTCTGCCTGAGGCAATGCCAAATCCCACTGCTTCGGCTTCGTTCCTGCCAAACACCTTAAAAGGTTTCCCAAACTTCGGTTCACCACCTCAGTCTGGCCATCCGTCTGGGGGTGGTAGGCGCTACTGAAATTCAACTGCGTTCCCAGTTTCCCCCACAGGCTCTTCCAGAAATGACTGATGAACTTAGTATCACGATCTGAAGTGATGGATCGAGGAACACCATGTAAACGCACAATCTCCTTGAAATAGAGATGGGCAATCCGGTCAGCATCCATAGTCTTTCTGCAAGCTACAAAATGAGCCATCTTGGAAAACCTGTCAACCACAACAAAGATAGAATCAGAGGCCCTTTGGGTGCGGGGTAAGCCTAGTACAAAATCCATGCTGACATCGAACCAAGGAGCTTCAGGAACAGGTAAGGGAGTGTACAATCCCGCATTGGTGAGAACTCCCTTAGACCGCTGGCACACATAACAACGGTCCACATAATGGGCCACATCACTAGTCAACTTGGGCCAATAAAATTCAGAAGAGATAAGGGCCAATGTCTTATCTCGGCCAAAGTGTCCCTCATTATGGAGTTCACTTATAATTTGCTGCCTCAATGAACAATCTGGAATGCACAATTGTAATCCACGAAACAGATACCCATTATGCAAAACAAAATCATGACGGTGACCCTCAGTTACCTCCTGAAATATCCTTCCAAAGGAAGGATCAGCTGCATACATATCTGTGAACGTCTCAAATCCTGCAACTTTAGTACTCATGGTGGTGAGAAGTAAGGTACGACGGCTCAGGGCATCTGCGACGCGATTCAAACTCCCTGCTTGGTGCCTCAGCGTAAAAGTGAATTCTTGCAAGTATTCTACCCACTTGGCATGACGTCTACTCAGATTGTGTTGGCCATTGATGTACTTCAAGGCCTCATGATCGGTAAACAGAATAAACTCCTTCTGTACTCGATAGTGACGCCAATGCTTCAGGGACTGAACTATGGCATAGAACTCCAGATCATAAGTGGAATAATTTTTCTTTGATCCCGATAGCTTCTCACTGAAAAAAGCAACCGGACGACCTGCCTGACTCAGAACACCACCAATGCCAACGCCAGATGCCTCACAATTTACCTCGAACACTTTGTCAAAATATGGAAGTGCCAAAACTGGAGCCTCGGTCATCTTCTGCTTGACCAGTTGAAAACTGGCCTCTGCCTCCTCAGACCACTGGAAATCACGCCCCTTGAGGCACTCTGTGATAGGGGCGATCAGAGTACTGAAATTTCTAATGAATCGACGGTAAAAAGACGCCAAGCCATGGAAACTTCGGATGTCATGTAAGGTTCTTGGTCTGGGCCACTCCAAGACTGCATCTATCTTTGACTGATCTGCATGAACACCATCAGTAGACACAACAAAACATGGAAAAGTCACAGAAGTAGTGAAGAAAGAACACTTCTTTTGATTGACAAACAAGCACTCCGTTTTCAGCATCTCAAAAACAGCACGGAGGTGATCGAAGTGTGAAGTCCATGTCGGACTATAAACGAGGATATCATCGAAGTAAACTACAACAAATTTCCCCAAAAAAGGCCGCAAGACCTGATGCATAAATCTCATGAATGTACTGGGCGCATTGGATAACCCAAAGAGCATGACCATCCACTCATACAACCCTTGTGGCGTTTTAAACGCCGTCTTCCGCTCATCTCCAGGCCTTATTCTGATTTGGTGGTAACCGCTCTTAAGGTCAATTTTTGAGAAGATCTTAGAACCAGATAGCTGATCCAACATATCATCTAGACGGGGAATTGGAAACCGGTACTTCACTGTAATTCTGTTGATCGCTCGGCTGTCAACACACATACGCCAAGAACCATCTTTCTTTGGCACTAACAGAGCAGGGACTGTACATGGGCTCATACTCTCTCGAATATATCCCCTCTCCAACAACTCTTCCACCTGTCGCTGCAACTCTTCGGCCTCCTTGGGACTGAGGCGATATGCTGGTCGATTTGGCAAACTTGACCCAGGAACAAGGTCAATTTGATGCTGAATATCCCTCATAGGTGGTAGTCCAGGAGGAAGATCCTCTGGCATCAAGTTAAAGAATTCTGCTAGCAGCCGCTGCACCTCTACTGGTAAATCTGTATCCACGTCTACTGCATTGTTCTCGTAAGGTAGCAAGGCATAGACCACGCCGCCATGCTCAATCTCATCTAAAAACCTGGACATAGAAAGCAGATTAGTATTATGGGTTACTGGGGTAGGAGTAAGTCCTTCCCGCCGGGGTGCCAACACAATCTTTTTTCCCTTGATGCTAAGGGAATATGTATTCTTCCGTCCATCATGAATGACACTGCGATCATACTGCCAAGGTCGACCCAACAATATATGACACGCATCCATAGACACAACATCACACCAGGCATTATCAAAATATTTTCTACCAATTGAAAAAGACACGAGGCATCGCCTATCAACTGTTACCTCACTGTCTTTATTTAGCCATGACAACTTGTATGGCTTAGGATGATGGTCCGTCTTCAACTGCAATTTCTGGACAACCTCCTCGGACACTACATTCTCACAACTGCCGCTGTCAATGATCATTTTGCAGACTTTATCTGCAACTGTGCAAGTCGTGTGGAAAATATTGGTTCTCAACCAATCGTCCCCTGAATCGCCCTTGGGGGTAAGTAGACTCTTGCGAACGACCAGAGTCTCATGACCATCTCCATACAGCACATCATCAGTCTCATCATCGTCATACACGGGTTCGCCAATATCCTCAGTCTCGTCTTCCACGTTTTCCTCAATCAACAAATTTTTGCCCTTTTGACTAGCAGGCTTCCTGCAATCAGTCGC